GGGACTGTGTGTTTGTGTGTTCTTGTCAGAATGTGTGGAGATACGTGTATGCTGGGTGAAAATTTATAGGGGAGGATGTGTCTGAGTATTGTTGAAGAGAGACTCGTGTTTGGGGGAGGTGTATCTAGATATGGAGTGGGGAAGAGGGGGAAGGTCTATTTGGAGATTTTGAGTTTGTGTGTTGCAGGAGAGGATGTGTGTGTATGTTTGAGGTGTTTATGTGTTTTTGTGTTAAAATGTACGTCAGAGGGGAATTTGTAACTGTGTATAGGGGCTGGGGAGGATGTATCTTGGGGAAATGATGCTCCTTGCTGGAGGAAGTGTGTGTGGGGATTTTGTATATTTGCATCTTTGTGTAGCTAGAGGTGTATGTGTATGCGTGTGTAAGGAAGGTGTTTGTGCGGGGAATATGAATGTGTGGATATGGAAGGGAGGGACCTCGTTTGAGTGGGCTCTGTAGGAGTTGGAGTGGGGTTTGAAAGAGAGAATAATTCTTTGGAGATTAGCTGTGAGCTCAGGAATAGTCACTGCCTGCCCCAGACCCTCGTGGTTGTAGCTCTGGGCACTGAGAGTGGATCCTCCCAGCCAGAGATAAAAAATTCTTGGCTTTGATAGTCACACTTTCCTCTCTTGTTCATGCCTCTGCTTTCTGATGTCATCTCCCAGCCTTTTCTCTCTGGGTCTGGGGCAATTCTCTTTTCCCCTTGGTCTAGTCTGTCTCCCTCTAAGTTTTTCCACCCCCTATCACACCTTCATCTTTACCCTGACTACTAGAAGTAAGTTTGCCAGTACTAGTTGCCTTTACCAAACATCCCTCCCTTTCCACTTCCCTGCCTCTCCTCCCTTTTGCCCCAGCCCCAGGTGGGGAGAGGTCTGAGAATTAGCCGCCCCTGTGGATCATGCTGTTACTAAGAGGCCACCTGGTTTAGTGGAAAGAGCTTTCTGGCTGGGGTGTCAGGGACTCCGGGAGTCACTGGTCCCAGCTGCTTTGCTGTGGACTCGAAATGTGACTTCAGGGCTATTATTCCCATCTCTGGGCTGTAGTTTTAAAGTTCTCTTATTCTGAGGCAGGGATTCCCACACCATTTTCAGCTCCTGTACTCAATGACTTTTCAGCAAATCTTTCCATACACCTTCTTTAGCCTCAAAAGAGATTGTTTTTAGAGCTTACCATGTGTATGTAAGTACGAAATAGATTAAAGAGATTAATTAGGTTTTCTTCCAAGAGTACACACAAAATTGTGTAACTTCATCGATTGAGATCAGTTTGGAGTTTGTGGATTATTTCAATAGGATAATATAGTTACTTGCCAGATAATCCTCTTATTCCCTTGACAAGTTTCTTGTAACTCTTTGGGAGTCTGCTGACCCCAAGTTGAGAACTTGGAAACACTGCTTTTAAAAGTGGCATATGGGGAGTGTGGAGTAGTGGAAAGAACTCTGAACTTTACAGTCTGAAGATCTGGGTTCAGATACTGCTGTTTACCGGTCAGTGACCGTAGGCCAGCCGTTTGACCTCTTCCAGGCCTAGGTTTCTCATGTGTTTAAAATGAAGAGCTTTGGCTCTGTAAGCTCTGCAGTTCTGTGGTCAGTGGAGAGAGATTGGAGACAGTAGATAGTCATAGACTGTCAGAGTAGGTAGAGATGTGTGCCCTGGAAGAACTTCCATCCTAGGGGTTCCCCCACTCCTGATTATTGCTGCTTACTGTCCCCCTTATTGTTTTAGAAGAGCCCCAGTCATTCTTCATTTCACTCTCCTTTTTAGCCTTTTAGTCAATTACCTTACTTCCTCATTTGTACCTTTCTCTTTACCTCCCCTAGCTCTCCAGTTCTGGAATCTTGGACCACGATGGTATCAAATCTGCCATTGTTCTTGGATGGGACAGCTCAGTCTTCTCCTCCTTTAGACCCAGTAATCCTCCCCGTAACTTTTTGGACCAAAGAGTCCCTCCTTGGCCATGACTTGCCGGTGGCACAGTGGATGGCTCTGAAGCAGGAAAGCACTCTGAATTCTGTCTTAAACATTCTCTAGCAGGGCAAGTCGTGTAACTTCTCTGAGCCTCACTTTTTCATTGGTAACCTACCTTACAGGGTTGGTGTGAGCCTCTAATTAGATAGCCTATCTAAAGTGCTTTGCAAACCTTAAAGAGTTCTGTGTGTGTTAGCTCTTATTATTATTATTATCTCTATGTGCTTCTGACATTGGAATGTAGTTTCCTTGAAGGCAGGAACTGTCCTTGCTTTTGTATTTATCTCCCTGGCACGCAGCACAGTGCTTGGCACATCATAAGCATTAAATAAATGCTTTTTCATTCATTTATTCATTTGGCTAGTTCAGGCCTCTTCTTTTATAGAGAAATAAATTGAGACCCCAAGAGGGGACGTGCCCAGTGTCATATAGAATCATTAGTAAAAAAGGAACTTGAACCCAGGTTTCCTAGGTTCCCAGTCATATGTTTTTTCCATACCATACTGTTTCATATAATTTTAGGAGCACACTTTGTTGTTTTTGTTGTTCAGTTGTTTCAGTTGTATCCGGCTCATTGTGACTTCATTTGAGGTTTTCTTGGCAAAGATACTGGAATGGTTTGCTATTTCCTTCTCCAGCTCATTTTACAGAGGAAACTGAGGCAAACAGGGTTAAGTGACTTGCCCAGGGTCACATAGCTAGTATCTGAGGGGGTATTTGAACTCAGGTCTTCCTGACTCCAGGCCTGGTACTCTGTGCCACCTAGCTGCCCCAGGAATGCAACAGAACAAACATTTATTAAGAACCTGCTAGGTGCCAGGCACTGTGTAAAACAACGGGGACAAAAGGACAGAAAGAAGCTTATGTGAGTGTTTGATGTGTCTTGGATGCTAAGGGAGTCAGACAGAGTTGGGAATTAGGACTTTTAATTCTTAATAGGGCCTCTTTTCCTTTACCAGCTTCTTCCCTCCAATCAGTGACACCCCTTTTCATGCTCCTTGCTTGGAGAGGAATAGTCTTCCTGTGCCCAGGTGTCAGGGCCAGGTCCCTACCTGGCCTCCCTTTCCTGAGGAGAAGCAAGTTTCTGTTGCTCAGGCCCAATGCTTAGGCATTGTTGGAGGAGTTGGGCTCGGGCTTGGAAGTCCCACCTGAAGAAGGCCCACTTAGCCCAGGGTCCTGCCTTTCACTCTCCTCTTTTGCCACCTGTCTCTCTCTCTCTCTCTTTTAGCAGGGGAGGCAACAGGATTGACACAAAGATGTGTGGTCTATCCAGGAGTGACTGACTTTTTCTTACACACACACACACACACACACTGATTAGGTCTCTGCAGCTGTCTTCTTGCCCACAACTACTGTTTCTTTTCTCATCTCAGAAGGGGAGACTGTTGTGCTGCTGACTGGGGAAGAGGTGGGGGGGGAGTTTCCCCAATGCCTATGTGGGGGTGGGGACCTTTGACACTAAGATTCCTTCCATCTCTGGTGATCTGTGAGCCCCAAGTTGGGCAGTAGGCCAGAGCTGGGAGAATCTGGCAGTAGCCTCCCCCTTATCTTTTTAGTTGGGGGGGCTGGGGGATGTGGGAAGGTGTTTCTGACAGCTGCCCCACGACGTCATATCCTTCCTTCTTGGCTGTTCTACCCTGACCTTCCTGGGTCAGCCGACTCGTAACACCGGAAAGTGTGGCTAAGAAACCCCAGCTGGGGCCCTCCTGGGCTCTAGTGGCTGCGGGGCATAGGTCACCCCATGACCTCCTTCCTCATGGTGGTAGAAATATCACTGCTCCTGGTCAGAATGAAGCAGAGACAACCGTCTGCCAGCAGCAGCATATTCCAAAACACCATGATCTTTTTACTAGAAATCCCTGTAAGGTAGGGAGGGAGGTGGGGTGAGCAAGGATCGTAGGATCCTAGGAGCTAAAACTGGAAATGACCTTGGAGAGCATCTGGTCCAATCCCCTTCAGTTATAGACAAGGAAACAGACCTAGAGAAGGGAAAGGAACTTTGCCAAGGTCGCCCAGGTGATAAGGAACAGAGTCAGGTTTGGAAACCAGGTCCTTTGACATCAAAATCATGGGCTTTCTCATTGTCTTTCATTAGCCTTATTTCACGACTGGACACAGTGAGGCCCTGAGTGGACACGTGGGCAGCTATGTGGCACAGTGAACAGAGTGCTGGGCCTGGAGTCAGGAGGACCTGAGTTCAAATCTGGCCTCAGACACTATCTGTGTGACTCCGGACAAGTCATTTAGCCCTGCCTCAGTTTCTTTATCTATAAAATGAGCTGGAGAGGGAAATGGCAAACTACTCGGGTATCTCTGTCAACAAAACTCCAAATGGGGTCACGAAGAGTTGGATACGACTAAAACAACTGAACAAAGAGGACATGTGGCATGTTTGTAGTAGTAGGGCCTGGAACTAGAACCCTGTTCTCTCTACCCTTTAGTCCAATAGTCTAATGAGGCAGCATGGTGTGGTAAGAGGAACACTTGGGTGTGGGCATCAAGATCTCTGGGTTTTAGATTCGATTCTGCCCCTGATTGGTTGGGTGGCTTTTGGGGAAATAATTTTCTCATCTGTGAAATGAAGGCAGTGACCTTGTTTGTCTCTGAGGTTTCTCATAGCTCTGATGTTCTTGGTTCTATGGTCTGAGATTCCCTCTAGTTCTCTGACATTCTGTGCATCTGAATGAGTGCATCTTGGCCATGTTACTCAGTACTTCGAACGTGGTGGTATTGAAGCCAGGATTGCCAGTTTGCTCCCTCTGTGGGTCAGTTAACTGTTTGCTGAGGGCCCCGCTCTAGTCACTGGCTGAGTCCTAATCCTAGCAGCTATCTCGAAGTCCCGTACTCAAGGGCATTAGAAGACTGTCGGGCCAGAGTGAGGTGGTTAAGTGCCCCTCCATCCCCGCTGCAATAAATACAGCTCAGAGCCCACATGGTCACTTACATGGGTTAGTTATCTCATAGTAGGAGTGATGGCAAGGTTGAGTCAGAATAATGGATTAAAAAAAATTATTTTTCCCTCTCTGCTCAGAAGTTGCTGGCCTCTGAACAGCCCGGGATTTATGGAGACGCCTGTGGGGAGCAGCTTTGAATACTGCCACGCGCAACATCGCGCCCGCCGGTGAGGAGGCGCCCGTGCCCGGCTGTCACCATTCAAGGCTCCTGCGAATGGCTCCCAACGCCCGGCGTCCGCCCGTGGCTGTCCCTGCTGCCTGAGCCCCCTGCTGCTCCCAAGGACTCCCCATACCCCGATGGGGTAACGTGACCCAGGACGCCGTCACTGCCCCGAACTTTTCAGTTATCTACAGAGGCCTTCTCTCCCCAGTCGAGTTCAGTTTTACGTTGCTTCTGTTTCTTGGGGTTTTTTTTTTGTTTGTTTTTGTTTTTGTTTTATTTTTAAACTTGGATCCCTCTGTTCTTTTGATTGCCCAATCAGTGGGCACCCCAAGAGTGGGAGAGGGAAGGCTGAAGGAAAGGAGGCTCCTTTAGCATTTGCCTGCTGCTGGCTGGGCCGGGCTGTGTACAGCTGTGCCCCACTGCCTAAACGGGGGCTCACAGAACAGCAGATCTATGGTCTTTGTCTTTGGGGCCCTCCCCTCCCCATCCTACCCCATATAAGTATTTGGCTTCAAGTTCTGGAGTCTTGGCCTGGTTGTTACGTGTATAGGAGGGCCTTTTTGGGGGTAGGGGAAGGGGGTGTATTTTTTTTTTAAGAGTCAGGCTTTTTGGTGATTTTTTTTGTTTTTGTTTTTGTTTTTCTTTTTAACAGACTAGAACCCTTGTGACAACCGTAACACGTTTCCCAGAAGCCGATAACATTTGCACAACATTTGTGTTGGTTTTGAGGGGTGTTGCTTTTTAACTCTTTTCCCCCCCCCACCCTCAAAAAGCACAGGGCTCTATTTCTCTCATCTGGGTGTTTTATTTTATTTTAATTTTTTTTTTTTTTTGGTGGAGGTAGGGATCTGACGGGCGCCCTGGTCCCTTTGTCCCTCCTTATCCCTGATCCCTCCTCTGGTCTTCTCCTCCCTGGCCCCTTTCTTACCTTCCTACTGCCACAAGAGGCCACACCATGGCTCGGATGAACCGGCCAGCCCCTGTCGAGGTCTGCTACAAGAACATGCGGTTCCTCATCACTCACAACCCTACCAATGCCACCTTGAACACCTTCATTGAGGTAAATTCCTCCGGTGGGCCAGGACATTTGGGGGCGAGGGGAGAGGATGAACATCTAGAAAGAAGGCTTGGGTCAAATATGAGTTCTATCATTTTAAATTCTGTATGTCCTTGGTGCAAAACACTTCACCTCTCAAGTTTGCTCATCCATAAAATGAAGAGGGTGGGGCCTCTTTGAAGCCTCTCATGGTGGGATTCTGGGGGTTTTGGTAATAATAATCCTTCACCTCCCCCCAAGTCCTTTCTTGACATCTCATTGTGACATGGAAGTAACTCTGGGTCTTCGCGGCTCCTGTCATACTGGAAAGGCTAAGTTTGGAGAGATCTGTTACCAGACACTTGGCCACCAGGTGATGATTATTTTGGCTGAGGAAATCAGAACTGTGTCCTACAGTATCAGGGAGCTATGATTTCAGCTGATGGAAGCTCCATGATCACACCGATGAAATCACAGGGCCTTAAAGTATGGAGGGCTAATTGCTCACATCTCTGTGACCCAGAGGAAAGAGCTGTGGGTACTGCAATAGGGAGACCTGACTTTGAGTCCCAGCTCTGTCACTGACTTGGCGCGCTACTGTGGACAAATGTCCCAAAGGGTTATGCTGGCCATGTGGGTTATGTGACTGAAAAGGAGCCCCACATGTTTTCTTCCCTCCACCAGGACACACTATCTTCAGCTGGTGGCCGTAGCTGCTCTTTGCAGAGATTGGTGGTGTTTGCAGAATCCCTTGGCTGTTGATAGTGTCTGGTGCTTTGTCCAGCATTCTGCTACATTTTCCCATTGGCAGAATCCGGTGGAGGTTTGAAGGCCCACCAACTGCCACCAGCTTTTGGGAAGAGCATTGTGGTGGCAGTCAGAAAACTTGGGTTCAAATTCTGGCTGTGCTACTTATTATATGGTCATAGGCAAGTGATCTTCCACTTGCCCTCCTTTTTAATTGCCTTTTCTTTAAATAAGGGAGTTGGAATAACTGTGCTTTGAGGTCCCTCCCAGCTCTGGATCTGTGATCTTCCAAAGACCCTCGCTGCTCCAAGTCCTATGATCTAGGGAGGCTCAGCTGTGTTTGTGGAACCTGCCGCTACCAGGAAAACCGTGTGGAATCTCTCGTTGTCCATAGAACTTCCAGCTTTTGATGCTGCTTTCTCCTGGAAAACTTGTCATGGTAGTTCCTTAGATAGTCCTCTTAGACTTCCTGGTGACCGATTCACTGGCTAAACTCTGCTTGGGGACTCTGGTCTGCAGTCCATGCTCCTTGCCATCTGGCCTAGGGTTTGTATGGGAAACTGAGCTGTAGCCCTGGTGCTTGTTACTGTCAGTGCCATCCTCTTCAGGTTTCCTGCCTATTGAAAAAAGGAGATGAGAAGAACCACATAGGATTACATAGAGCCCTCCGTCTCCCTCGCATCCTTCATTTGCAGGTAGCATGAAACTAGGAAGGAGAGCTAAATTGGGATACTCTGTCAGGATTGGAGGAAATCCCATTGGGTTATAGAACCATGGTCTAAATCTAGGAAAGTAAAATGTAATCGGTTTAAATGCAAAGTTTTTCTTTTGGATTAAAAAAAACCAACTGTGTGAATACAGGATTTGGGAGGGCAGTTGTTAGGATATTTGAAGGACTACCCTGTGGTTGAAGGATTAGATTTCAGGCAGCTGGGTAGCACATTGTATAGAGCACTGGACTTGGAGTTGGGAAGACGAGTTCAAAACCAGTCTTAGACACTAGCTGTGTGATCCTGGACAAGTCACTTAAGTGCTATTTGCCTCAGTTTCCTCAACTATGAGATAGTTTGTTGTGAAAATCGAGTGAGATAACATTTGTAAAGCACTTAGCAGAGTGCCCGGCACATAGTAGGCACTTAAATGCTTATTCCCTTCCACCTTGTTTTGCTTGGCTTCAGAGGCAAATATCAGCTCAATATAAAGAAAAAAAAAAGATGTCAACAGTTAGAATTGTGCAGGTGTGGTAAGGACTCCCTTGGTTAGTAGTGAGTTCTCCATCACTGGAGATATTCAGGTGGAGTCTGGGGTATGTGGAGGTAATGACTCTTTAGGTTTGAGTTGGGCCAGATGTACTGTGAACTACTTTTCTACTCTGAGATTCCCCATTGGAAGGAGATGGGATTCTCAGGAGATCTGTTTTATAGAGAGAGACTGAGGATGCAGGTGATGTGCCTTGGAGATCAAGGGGCTTTCAGTTACAGAACTTTAGAAACCAAGCCTTCTAGCTCCCAGTCTTTGGGAGTTTTGCTTCAGAGTGGCTCTGGGGAAGGATTTGGACTGAGTGTGGGCACCCCTGCCCTGAGGCACCAGCCTGAGACAGGCCTTCTGGCTTCTGGCCAAGTCACATGAAAGATTGTGGTCTCTGCTTAGAACTTGGTGCTGAAGAGGCCAAGGTCACAGACTTGATCCCCAATGACCTGGTGAGTGAGCTTTGTTTCCTTGGTGCCAGAGATAGAGCCCTCACCCCAGACACATATCTAACCCTCCCTCCCCCGAGACTTGAGCCTAAAACTTGGCTACCAAATCAGCTGTAAGCCCCAAAGTTCACCACTCCCCCAACCTATCCTCTGTTGCATCTCAGAGATGATCTACTCTAATTTCATTAATTAGAAGAGGAAGCTGACCCCCAGAGAGAGGGAGTCCATTGCTCAAGGTTGCCCATCATAGGAGCTGCAGAGACAGAATTGAAACTTGGTCTTCTGATTTCCCCAGCCCAAGAATTTCTCCTTTCCACCCAGTGTTGCATTTCAGACCTTGCTTTGGGAAGAAGGGGAAGTCAGAACAAAGTGGATGCCTTTTTCCCTAACTGCTGCCCCTGTTCTAGACCTGAGGCCCCTGCATTCCTTTGGGGAAAGCCCCATGGCCCTCAAAATAGCCTATGGCATTTCACTAGGGCATCTGGCTATTTTTATTCTTGGGGATGAGTAAGGGGGTGGGTGTTTCCTCCGAGTGGGCCATGTGCCGTCATTACAGCCCCTTCCCAACACACGAGGACTGTTTCCAGAGGTCTAGGAAAAGAATTTGGCCTTTCCTTATCTTTGGCAAGAGAAGCTAGCAAAGGCACCACCTGGGGCAAACCTAGATTAGAGGGTGGGGTTGGGGTGGGGCTGACTCTGGGCTAATGGGGATCCTTGGAGGGGAAATGCCCTTGACACAGCCTTAATCTCACTAACTGATTGAGCTGTAATTCTGGTCTCCAGCAGAGCCCTAACCTCTGTCCAAAGTCTGAACCCTAAACCTGTCTCGAGACTGAACCCTGACTCCTCAGATGTCATCCAAATCAAGGCTACCTAGGGCTTTGATGAGAAAGACAATGTGGCCCATTCCTTTACCTGGAAACATACCTCAGAGCATGAGTTCTGTTGGTTTGTCAAAATGTTGCATGAAGAACAGACATAGTCCTTACTCCAGGGAGTAGAATTTATAGGGAGGAATGTTTTTCAATATGAAGAAATGTTTTTTAAGAATCAGAGCATTCCAGTAGTAGACAGGTAGTGAGCTCTCTGTAACTAGAGATATTCCAGCAGAAGCCATCCTTCATTCTACTCTTCTCCTCCCCCTTCTCTCCTTCCTGGCCGGCTCCCCTCAAACCAAAGGGACTGGAGTAGATTCTTGCTGGAATACCAGGATTCTATACCCAGGGGTGGCTGGTTGGAGAGGCAACAAGACATAATGGAGAGAATACTAGACCTGGAGTCCAGAGACTTGGGGTCATACCCTGGCTCTGCTACTTATTAGCTATTTAGCCTTAGGCAAACTACTTCCTCTCTCTGAGCTCACTTTCCTCCTCTGCAAAGTAGGGTCACTTGTATTCCCTAATTTATTGGGTTAGTATTGTTGTAGGAAGGAAGGAAGGAAACAAGCATTTGTTTATTTAAATGCCTACTGTGTGCTTGGTTGGTTACATAACATGCTAGTGTTATGTATATGTAACACTATGCTAGTGTTACAAATATTATCTTTTGATCTTCACAACAACCCTGGGAGGTAAATGCTATTATTATCCCAATTTTACATTTGAGGATAGTGAGGCAAAGAGAAGTTAAGTGACTTGTCCTGGGTCACACAGCTAGGAAGTGTCATGAATCTAGAGTTGAACTCGGGTCTTTCTGATTCTCAGCCCAGTACTCTTATCCTCCGTACCACCTAGCTGGTTGTTGTGAGCGGTTTATGCAGAGGGTGTGGTAGATTTGACTCAGATGGCTGCTCTGGCCCTTCAAGGGTAGGGAAATGGGGCTCTAGACAGTTTCCTGCTGGATATGTGTCAGGTGGTGGGGGCAGGTTGTCCTTGGAGAGGGATAGGGTCAGTACTGACCAGGACCCCCCAGCTTCAAGAAGTACCCCGCCACCTCCAGGAGGTATGGGTGCAAGGTCCCACTGAAGGTTAGTGAGAACTGAGACTGAGTCATATCTCTGTCATATCTCATCTGCCTTAATGAGGCTTTAGGATTGAAAGATGATTGTGAAAGAGGCATGGACAGATAGGACTGTAGCTATTTAGGGAGAAAGGGAGGGAGGGAGGAATGAAGCAAGGAGGGAGGGAAAAAGAAAGGAAGGGAGGGAAGGAAGGAGAAAGAAAGGGAGGAAGGAGGGAGGGAGGAAGTAAGGAGGGAATGAGGGAAGGAGAAAGGAAAGAAAAAGGTAGAGGAGGGAGGGAGGAAGAAAGGAAAGGAGGGAAGAAGGAATGAAAGAAGGGAGAGAAGGAAGAAAAGGAAAGGGATGGAAGGGAGGGAGGGAGGGAAGAAGGTTGGGAAGGAGGGGAGGAAGAGAAGAGGTAGGGAGGGAGAGGGAGAAAGGAAAAGAAAGAAGGGAGAGAGGGAAGGAGGGAGGGAGGAAGGAAGGAACAAACAAAGGAAGAGAGGGAGGGAAGGAAGAAAAGAAAGTGAGGGAGGAAGAAAGGAAGGAAGGGAAGAAGGAGGGAGGGAGAAAGGAAAGGAAGGAGGGAGAGAAGAAAAAAGGAAGGGAAGAGGGAGGGAGGAAGAAAATGTGTAGGGCTTTCTATGTACTTGACACTGTGCTAGGCAAAAACATTAGAGAAAAGAAAGTGTTGGCTTTGTAATTCAGACCACCTGACTTGAATTCCCTGAGCCTTACTGTCCTTACCTGTAAAATGGAGACAGTCATACACTATGTATCAATGGGGTTGTTGTGAAGAAAGACCTTTGGAAACCTTGGATAAGGGCTATAGAAATGAGAGCTGTTATTTAAAGAGCATTGTGTGGTAGTATGGAGGCAGGGCATCAGTAGGTAAAGAGCTGGCCTCAAAGCCAGAAGGATCTGGGTTCAAGTGCTGCCTCTGACACATAACTTCTCCTGAAGCCCTTTGCTTTCTTTTATCTGTAGGACAAGGGGCTTGGTCTTGGTCTTGTCCTATCACTTAGGTCCCTCCCAGCTCTAAATCCTCCCATCCACTTGTCCTTTCCCTTCCCCTCCCCCACAAATCCTTTTACATCTTCTCAAGTTCACTCTCAGCTTCCCTCATTCCCTCGGCCCCTGTCTCTGCACCAGGCAGTGATCACACAATGTTCCCAGCAGCCAGGCTTGTCCTTGGCAGGGTTGAGGGGGGAACAAAAGATAGGGCTGAGCACAGCGTCCTCCCGCAGGCCTGGGCCCCCGTGTCTGCCTGGGAAGGGAAGTAAAAGCCTGGGGCCCCAGGAGGGAGATAGAGATGATGGCTGAAGAGGAAGGCCCCGGGTACAGTGTTGGGGAATGTTAAGAACCTTGGCCTGGCAGTTGGGAATTTTAATCTAGAGTCTGCCACTGATGTGCTGGGTGACCTTGGATTAGTCACCTCTTCTGTCTAGGTTTTCAGTCTTCTGATCTATCAAATTTGGTGCTTAGGCTAAACAGTATCTGAGGTCCCTTCATGCTCTCGGAATCTGTGCATACATCGGAGTGTCTGATCCTGAGGCCCTGGGCAGAGGGCCACAGGGGCTGGCTCAGCCCAGTGCCAGCAGCGCCTGCTGCCAGGTTTTCTACCCGAGCAGCTCTCAGGCCTCCCATGTCTGGGGGCCCTGAGGAGGGACAGGAGGAAAGGCACTTCCTTGGGGAGAACCTCTAGCTTTCAGAAAATTCTCTGCCTTTCTCAGTAGTCCCCGAGAGGCCCATGTCTTAAGTATCTCTATTCCACCTGAGATTCTTCAAGGACAGAATTATCTGCGTTTTTCTGTGCAGCCTAGACCTCAGATGCCCTGGTTGCATAGCAGCAGAGGGGGGCTGCCCTGAGCCATCTAGAATGCTTTGCCCAGGTCTTGGGTGACCCTCTGGCCGTCTGTTTTGAAGGGGCTGGGAGATTCCAGCTTGGGCTGTGACCAGGAGCATGACTCACACTCTGTGTAGCTCAGGGGCTCAGCCTCAGGGCTTGGTTAATTTTCAGAGTTTGAGGTTATTATTAATATCAAGAGTGAGCAGGCATAGATTTGAGAAGAGATTTGCTCAGGCGTAGTGGCATCCACTAGAACCCTTCACTATTAGGGCTCTGGGGGCAGACATCTCAGTCACTAGAGCCTCCCAGGAATTCTGGGTCAGAGTATGGGATTATTTATTATCTTCTTAGAAGCAGCTGTGTGGTACCATGGATAGAGGAAGTGGAATCAGGAAGACCTGAGTTTGGCTCCTGCCTCAGACATTTATTGAGCTGTGTGACCTTGGGCAAAAATCACCCTCTCTCAGCCTTAGTTTCCTGTAAAATGGGGATGATAATAGCACTGACAGCATAGTCATTCTGAGGATTGAATGAGATAACATAATGTGAGTTGTTTATTTTTCAGTTGTGTCTGACTCTTTGTGACCCCATTTGGAGTTTTCTTGGCAAAGATACTGGAGTGGTTTGCCGTTTTCTTCTCCAGCTTATTTTACTGATGAGGAAACTGAGGCAAATAGGGTTAAGTGACTTGCTCAGGGTCATCTAGCTAATAAGTGTCTGAGGCTGGATTTGAACTCAGGAAGAGGAGTCTCCCTGATTCCAGGCCCAGTGTTCTGTCCCCTGTGCCACCTAGCTGGCACACCTTTCAACACCTTATGAGGGATTTTGTGAGTGAAGTGCTATAATCTGGTAGGTATTATTTGTTGTTATTATTGTTACTATTATTTCTTCCCTATTTTTCAGGGAGCCTTCAGGCTAAGTGGAAGCTAAGTCCCTCTGTTGGAATTAGCTCCCTGTGGCTGTCTCTTTGAAAAGAGATGGGGCTGGAGGATTGCCAGGGGCTGAAGCCTGGGAGCTGGATTTTTAATCCCCTCTGTTCAGTGACTTTCCTTTTCTTCTCTTGCAGGATCTAAAGAAGTATGGGGCCACCACTGTGGTTCGGGTATGTGAGGTGACCTATGACAAGACCCCTTTGGAAAAGGATGGTATCACTGTCATGGTGAGCAAGGGCCCCTGGACTTCAGCCATTTCTGTGATCTTCTGGGGGTAGGGAGACTGAGGATAGGATGGGTGGGCTTGGGAGTGGGAGCAGTGATTTGGCATCTCTTAGAACTTGGAATGTCGAGCTGCAGGGACTTAAGAACACAAAAAGTTAGAGTTGGGAGGGACCCTAGAGATCATTTAATCCATCTCCCTGATTTTAGAGGGGAATAGATCAAGGGCTAGGGAACAGACAGTGACTTGCCCACAGTCATACAGCAAGACATCTGCTGAACTGGTCCTCACCCCCAGGGCTCTCTCCACTGGGCTGAGAGGTGGGAAGAGGCAGCTGCTACAAACCATTTGTAGCTTGTCACCTTCCTACTCAGTAAAATCGTTCAGCTTCCTATCCATTCTAGGATCAAATACAAAATGCTCTTTTTAGCATTCAGAACCCTTTATAGCCTAGCCCTCTTCTACCTTTCCAGTCATGCAAAGTTATACCTTACCATGTACTCTTTGATCCAGTGACCCTGGCTTCCTGGCTCTTCCAAGACCATGGCACTCCATCTCTTGTCTCTGGGCGTTTTCTTTGGCTCTTCCCCATACCTGGACCCTTTTCCCTCTTTCCCGTCTTTCCCTTTGATTACTGACCTCCCCGGCTTCCTTTAAGTTACAGATAAAATACCATCTTCTGTGGGAAGCCTCTTAATTTTAGCGCCTTGCCTCTAATGATTATGTCCAGTTTATTCTATGTATAACTTTTGGATATATATTTATTTGCTTGTTTTCTCCCTCATTAGACTGTGAGCTCTTTGAGGGGAGAGACTGTCTTTTACCTCTTTTGGTATCCTTAGCCTTTAGTACAGTGCCAGGCACGTAATGCCTGGCTCTTAATGATTATTTGTTGACTGACTGACTGACTGACTGACTGACTGTGCTGTAGCAGGTTAGCAGAAACTTTAGGGCAAAGCAGAGATGGAAGGAGGGGTATAAGATGGTGGTAGCGTATACAGACTCATCCGTGTGTGTGTGTGTGTGTGTGTGTGTGTGTGTGTGTATACCTATAGGTTGAATTGAAACCTGTGAGTGTTTCAGGGGAATGTGTGCATTTATACTCATATTCAAGTGTATATATGAGCATACGTGTTTCATTCTTGTGTGTGAATTTTGTACCTGTGAGTGTGTTGATAGTAAATTTGTGTTTCTTGTTTGTGTGTATGCATAAGAGGCAGCATGATGCATGGAATGCTTATCAACAGACCTGGGTTCTAGTTAAGGCTTGGAACCTTAGTTTCCTATCTGTAAAATGAGGTAACATTCTTTGCCCTGCTGACCACACAGAGATATTGTGAAAACATTTTGGCAAATGGGTGTAGACTGTTGATGCCTGTTGTTATTTTTGTTGTGTGGTTTAAATGGTGAGGGTTAGAGGCATTTGAGGAAAAGATAAGGGAAGATTGGTCCAGGAAGGCTCCTGGAGGAGATTGGGTAGAGAGGGACCTTGAAGTACAGATAGGTTAGGGATAACCAGAGCTTTGTTTGTGTGGGGCTCGGGCAGCCCGCAGTCAGCTGAATTAGGCTTTGGTTGAAGTTAGTCCTGGATATCCCCTGGGCTGTCTCTGGGCAGGTAGGGAGCTGTTTCCTTGGCTTTCCCTGCCCGAGGGAGGAGGAGGATGGGGAGGTACACAGGCCTTAGCTCCCCAGAGTCTCAATCAGGTGTGCTGATGCTTCATCAACAAGAACAGGAAGGTGTTTTATGTTTCTGGGTCCTTCTTCTGGTCCCTGATAAGAGAGGGTGACTGTTTCCCTCCCGGGGAGAGCAGGAGAATCTGCCACAAAGTCAGTCCCCTCAGCAGGTCATTGGCCAAGCTGGAAGGAGGGCCCAGCTAGACTGACTCCTATGTACTTCATCTCTCAGCTCTGGGCATTTTCTCTGATTCTCTCTCAGGTCTAGATTGCTGTCCTTCCTCATCTCCCCCTACTGGCTTCTTTCAAGTGCCAACTTAAACAACATCTTCTATAGGAAGCCTTTTCCCAAACCCTCCTAATTCTAATGCTTCCCCTCTGTTAATTATTTCCTATTTATCCTTTATGTAGCTTGTTTGTATATATTTATTTGGATGTTGTCTCCCCCTGTTAGATTTTGAGCTCCTTGAGGGCAGGAGCTGTCATTTGCCTCTTTTCATATCCCTGGGTTAGCATAATGTCTGGCATGTAGTAGGTGTTTAATAACTGTTAGCTGTTATTGTGATTGTTATTCTTTATTGTTAGAGGCAGCTAGGTGGTGAGGTCTTGATTCCCTCTCTCCCAGAGCACCTTCTTCCACCTCGCCCTTAGAAAGAATGGTATCTTCCACGGAAGGACGAGAACACCAAGCTTAGTAATACGAGGTTCGCTAACTTGAGACTGACTGGCCCTTGGTCATTTCTACAATCCTATGCTCATTCCCAGCCAATCAGCAAGCATCACAATGGCTAGTGCCACTGACTTTTCCTTGACTTGGTTCAGTCAGGTCAGTAAAATGGCAGTTAAACTTGCCAGTTTAATAGACCTGCAGGTGATACAAAGCTAGGAGCTGCAGCTCCTACTCTCCCTGAAGGAATTTAGAGCCAAAAAAGATCTCTGCAGGCTGGAACATTGGGCCAAATGGAGTAAGATGAATTTTAACAGGGATAAATGTTAAAATCTTATACTTGGATTAAAAAAAAAGTCAGCATCACAAATGCAAGTTGGGGAGAGGGGGGAATGTGGCTACATAAACAAGTTCTCCTGAAAAAGAGCTGAGGGAGTGTGGTAGGAGATGAGTGTGAGTCAGCAGCGTGTTGTAGCTGCCCCCAAACTTTGGGATCTCGGCTGCATTGCAGAGGTAGAGAGTCCAGAACAGAAGGGAGATGGTGGTCTCATTATACTCTGCCTTGGTCAGGTACATCTGGGAGGACTGTGTTCAGTTCTGGAGACCACATTTCAGGAAGGACATTGATGAATCCGGAGAGCACCCGGGGGTGGTGGCTTGAGTTGTGTGAAGTCCTTGGAGCTTATGTGATATGACAATTAGCTGGATAAGCTGAGGATATTGAACCCGTAGGAGAAAAGACTTAAAGGGGACGTGATAGCTCTCATCATTTTTAAGAGGCACTGTCCTGTGAAAGACTAGGATGTGTGTGGAGTAGGGTTAGACATATTCTGCTTGGCCCATAAGGCGGAACCTTATGGTGATGGGTAGACATTGTAAAATGGGAGATGTAGGCTTCATGACAAAACTTCCAGCAATTATGGTCACAGCGGAAGTTATGAGTTCTCCATTACCAGGAGGCCCCGCACTGCTGAAGTCTCCCCTCTTCAGCAAATTAGGTGACTGCTTGTTTACGGATATGATAGAGGGGATTTTTTGGTCAGGTACAGATTAGAAAGAGTGGATTCTGAGGCCCTTTCCAGATCAGAGAGTGTGTGACTTAGATACTACCTCCTCTTAGAAGCCTTCTTGGACAGCCTTGCCCCAGCTGGTCCAGGGGAAAGGGATAATCTCCCTTCTTCTGTCATCAGTTTGCCTGGACCTCTCCTTTTTCACCATCACAATATAACTTGTATCATAACTTATTTTTGCATAGAGGTTGTATTTTTGTGTGATACTGTCAGTCCTTTGAGCATAAGGTCTGTCATTTTTTTCTTTGTAGCCTCAGAGTGTAGCACAGGGTCCTGCTCATAGTATTTGTTTAATAATAACATATTTCTTGAATTGAATTGAGTTGACTGAAATGTCAGTGTTAGAAAGTACCGTAGGGTTCAGCTGGTCCAAGGATCTCTGTAAGGAGAAGGATGTCTTTTTTTTTTTTTTTAAATTGAGAATTCCCTGTTAGGTTGAATTATTCCAGTTTTTTTGAGGTGATGGTAATCCCATTTTGTAGCAAGATGGATGAGTGTTAGACTTCGGAAGCCTTCTTGAAGTCCCAACTAAAATCCTACCTTCTACAGAAAGCCTTTTCCAGCTTTTCTTAATTCTAATGCCTTTCCTTCGTTAATTATTTCCTATTTATTCTTTGTATAGCTTGCTTTGTATATATTTGTTTGCATGTTGTCTTTCCTGTTAGATTGTAAGCTCCTTGAGGGTAGAGACTTTCTTTTGCCTCTTTTTGTATCCCCAGAGTTTAGAACAATGCTTGGCACATAATAGATGCTTAATAAATGTTGATTGATTGATTGAGGAAACAAAGCCAGATGAGTATCCCTTAAAGGAACTGCAGGTATTTACCTGGAGAAGAGAAGATTTGGGGGACATGAGAGCTGGGTGCATGCATGGGAACCAGAGAACCTATTTGGGTTGCAGTCATGGCTCCACCACTCACTTAATAGCTATGTGCCCTCTCTTAGCCTTTGTTTCTTGATCTGTGAAATGGGGTCAGTAATACTTATACTACCCCATATCATAGGATTGTCATGAGGGAAGTCTTTTGTCAACTGTCTTGCTCTTTAAAAATGTGAATTATTATTCTTGGAAGTAATATTTAAAGGGTCTTCAAGGGGACCTGGGAACTTGACTGATTCTGATTGGTCCCAGAGGACACAGAAGGAATGGGGGAAGAATTATAAGGAGGCTGATTGAAGCATGTAGGAAGAACAGTGGATAAGTGGAAAGAACACTTGATTTGGAGTTGGAGGGATCAGTATTTGAATCCTGACTTGGAATCTTGATTCTGCTCTAGGTGACGTTGGGCAAAGTAGTAGTCTAGGTCTGTCATCAATAATCTATAACCTCTCTCTTCCTTCTTGGCCTCCCCCCACCCTTAAGTTCCTTATCTATGAAATGATGAGTTGTATGATCTCAGCATTCTTTCTAGCGTTACAATGAAGCCAGCTAGGTGATATGGTGGAGAGAGTGGTTGACCAGGAGTCAAAAGAACCTGAGGTCAAATCCAGCCTCAGATTCTTATTAGCTGTGTGACTCAAGGTAAGTCACTTAACATTTCTGGGTGTCAGTTTCCTCATCTGTTAAAAAAAAAAAAAAACAGCAAAAAAAAAAAAAAACGAGAGTGAGAGAAAGAGGTTAATGACTTGCCCAGGATCACACAGTTAGTAAGTGTCTGAGGCCTGATTTGAACTCAGGTCTTCTTGACTCCAGGCCCAACTCTCTCTTTACTACATTACTTGGGTGCCAGGAAGAAGAGAAAAAAAGTCAGTAAAACCAACCAACCAAAACAAAATCTAAAAAGATTGAAAGTATGTGCAATGTTCCACACTTGTGGACTTCTTGCTTCTGCAAAGGAGTAAGGAGAAGAATAGAAGCCGTGTCTGTTAATGGATCCCAAGCATTAGCTTTTTCAGTCCCCACATCACTCTCTTGATTCGTCTTGAGCCTACAATTCACCAAAATCCTTGAATCTTTTTCAGACAAAATTTACCAGTGTTTTTGCTCACGATGACCCTGTGAGTTCAATAGTATAAATATTTCCGTTAAGAAAAGAGACTTAACAGAGTTAAAAGGACTTGCCCATGGCTATTAATTAATATGAGAGATGGCATCAAACCTGGGCCACCTAAGTCTGGTCTGGTGTTTTTTTTTTTTTTTTAAACAACCTCTTATGAATTTCTTCTCTTTGGGTATCTGTGGGTAAAGGCTAGATGACTCCTTGTTACTGATGCTCTAAGGGGCATTCCTTCTCAGGTGCCAGTTAGAGTAGATGGCTCTTCTTACCCGGAGATGCTTTTAGCTGTTTCAGCCTTGGACACAAGACTCTTCAACTCCAGTGACTGCAGAAGACAAGATGCGCCTACTTCTGAGCGTGTGTGAGAGTGTGTGAGAGAAGCTGCCCTGCTGGTGGCTATGTTGCTCCCATTCCCATGTTTGGGCTATCCAGGTACGCTTAAATTTCTGAATTGATCTTGCCTATTCTCTGGCCCACCCACCCAGGACTGGCCTTTTGATGATGGAGCTCCCCCTCCTGGCAAGATCGTGGAAGACTGGCTCAATCTGCTGAAAACCAAATTTTTTGAAGACCCTGGCAGTTGTGTTGCTGTCCACTGCGTGGCTGGCCTGGGGCGGTGAGTCCTAGGGGCCCCAGAGAGGGAGAGTGTCGAGGGACCCCACCACTGCTGCCCCACTGGGAGGCATTAGGCTAGGTGGGAGGAAAGGCACATCTAATCTCTTTCTCTTCCTCCCATTTTGAGGATATCACTTTGGTGCGTATGGTGGTATAATTACTAGAAAGGATTTAGAGTCAGGTGACCTCAGTTTGTATCTTAATTCTCCCTTTTGTTAGCAATAAGCCATTTGGGTCTCTTTGGGTCATCTTTAAAATCAGGGGTTTGGACCCTGAGGTCCCTTCCAACTCTGATCCAGTTTGGGATCTGATGATCTTTTCACTCAGCCAAAGGCGGGGGAAAACAAATGAATGTTGTAGTTAGAAAAGATTCAGTACCCATTGTGTTTTGGGCCCTGTTCTCTGTGGACTAGAGTTAAGGAGGGTGGGGCAAGAATCCAAGATGTATAAGATACCAGTCCTTTCCCTCGTGGATCTGACAATACTGTAGTGGAGATGAGACATAGGCCTAAGAAGAGATAACTGTATTAGGGCACTATATGATAACCTCCTAATACAAAATACAACACTGTGTCTCAGTACAAAATGAGGCTATCCTTGTCCTACATGCTTTGCCCTGATCACACCACATACGAAATAATTGTGTTTTCTTCTGATGCCACGTTTCTGATGCCATTGATAAGCTGGAACGTGTCCAGAGAAGGCAACCAGGACCGATGGAGGACTAGAGAGCATAGCATCTGAAGATCAGCAGAAGGAACCAGGGATGTTTAATTTGACGAAGGGACTTATGGGACACAGGATCTTTGCTTTCCTGTATCTGAAGGGCTGTCATGTGGAAGAGGGGTTAGATTTGTTTTGCCAGCACTCTAGTTGACAGAACCAAGAACAGTTGTGGAACAGAAGATTTCAGGGCAGTACAAGCAAGACTTTACTAACAGACATGCCCCAAAGTGGAAGTAGTGAGTTCCCTTTCTTTGGAGAGCTTTGAGTGGAGGATAGAGTCCCATTTGGCAAGAATCCTGTAGAAAAGGTTCTTTCTTGACATTTAGAGAGTCTCTTCTCATTTAGAAATCCTCTGATTCTATGAATGATATAGATGCTCCCGATTGTAGGTACTCAGAAAAGGGAGAGATCAGAGTCAGCTGGGTGGGCAGTTAAGACTCTTCTCTAGTTAAGACTAGAGAATGTGGGCTCAGAGCTGCTGCTTCAAGAATTAGAGCCAGATTCATGTGAACAGAAAACAAGGGAGGAAGGTAAAGGGCAAGGGAGGAGGCAAATCTACTTACTGAAAAAACTGTATTATTAAAGTCTCCAGGGAAATCCTGCAGTGAGGAAACTCATCTGGGCATCTGACCTGACTCCCTCCTCTTTCATCTGAAGGAAGGAATCGTCTTTGTGCCCACCTACCACTGTGTCCAAACACTTGGCCTTCCCCAGTCTATAGTAGCTATCCTTCTGTCTCCATGCTCAGCTGTATTTGAGTAATAACAATGCATCACTGTAGACTCCTTACTGTTTATAAAGTGGTCTTTTTCGCCATGTCTCTGGAAGGTAGTTAGTCCAAGAATTATTGTCTTCATATGCTGGTGGAGAAACTGAGGTTCACAGTGGAGGGTGATACCATTTGTAAGAGTTGGTATTGGGATACAACGGAGGCCTCTTGACTACAAAGTTTAGGTCTACTACAACATATGAGCTTTTGGTTAGATTGGCTCAGTTGAGAGGGAGAGGGTTGGAGGACTGTCCATCACCTTTGGCAGTAACTCCCACCTCCCTGTCCATCTCCTAGGGCTCCTGTCCTTGTCGCTCTGGCCCTGATTGAGAGTGGGATGAAGTATGAAGATGCCATCCAGTTCATTCGACAGTAAGTGCCCAGAAAGTTTTTTCTTTCTTTCTTTTTTTTTTTTTTGGTGAGGGAAGGGTCCCCCTTTCTGTCATAGGAGTCAGGTCCACAAGGTAGTTAGGTAATTTCCAACCCCCCTTCCCCCCTTAGCACCTCCGAACACACAGTCCTGTGGGGAATGAATGTGGAGAAGACTTTTGCTCCAGGGATGAAGTATAAAAGATTGCAGCACTGCCTGGCCAGAGGAAAGGACTTTTTCCCCAGATAATTCCAGTCTCTCTACCTTGTTTGACCTTCATGGATTCCTGGCAGGTCATTATGGCCTTTTTGATCCATGGACAGTTACCACTCCCCATTTCATCAGTTTAAAAACAGCAACTACAATAAAAAACTGAGGCCTGAGGCCCAGAAAGATTCATTGACTTGCCAAAAGTCACGCAGCTAGCTTGGACCAGAGGGACAGGTCAAGAGCGTGGTGGCCATGGCTCCTAGCTTGTATTTTCACTGTATCACATAGCACATTGTAGTAATCTCTGTTCTCCATTCTATACAAGTGTCACAGTGGAAGTAGGAAGGGAGGAGTTGAGATAGAGCTTCAGGGTGGGGGGACAGGGAGAGGAAGAAGTCAGGCTAGGAGCCAAGGACATTGTGAAACCTGGTTCCAAGAATGACTCTGCTGTATGGCATTGAGCAAATGGCTCTTTCTCCCTGGGCTTTAGCATTTTATTGTTGCAAAGGTACATCCCTCCCTCCATAGCAATCAGTGACAGGTTGTTATTGTCACCCTTTACCATAGGCACAGAAATGAACTCTAGCCTAGAGGAAATTGGGCACCAGTCTCAATGAGAGATTTATTCCTTTCCCCAGTCTCCATCTCTCCAGATTCTATGTTTCCTATGGCTGTAGACTGTTCCATCTGAGGCTTTATTAAAGGAACCAGGAATATTTAGTCTTGAGAAGAGAAGATTTGGATCATTGGCCTCTTCAAGCATTTTAAGGGCTGACATGTGTGGGAGGAAAAGGACAGAACTAGACGTAATGAGTGGAAATTGCAAAGAAGATTTAGTCTGAGTATAAAGAAAAAAACTCTTCAATATTTCTAGCTGTCCAGAAGCCAAATAGGGGTAGCGGGTTGCCTCTCACTGACAGTCTTCTACTGGATACTGTTAGATTGCTTGCTCTCTCTGTCTCTCTTTCTCTCTGTCTATCCATCTGTCCATCTATCTGTGTGTCTTTCTCTGTCATCAGTCTCTATCATCTATGTCTGCCTATTTGTTCATCTGTCTCTTTCCATCTCTCCGTCTCTACCATCAAGTTCTATCATCTCTCTCTCTCTGTCTTTGTCTCTCCTTGTCTCTGTCTCTCTGTCTCTCTCTTCTCTCTGTCAGTCTTTCTTTCTCACTTGTTAGGAATGTTCTAGAAGGCATTCTTGTTCAGGGATGGGTTGGACCAGGTGACATATGAGGTCCCTTCTGACTCAGAGATTGGGTCACGTAGGTAAGCAGATTCTGGCGTAATTCAGACTCCATTGCTGTTTTGCTGCATGACATTAGAAATTCCACTTTTCCCTCTCTGGCCCTTAATTTCCTACTCTGAGAATATAGGGAGCATAACCCCTGCTGTCCTGACCTCACAGGCCTTTTGTAAGGATGAGATGAGGCTGTGTTTTATTTGAAAAGCTAACCAGGGTTCTGCCAATTTACATACAGACAGCGTTGCCAGGGCTGGTTTAGGAACGTAGCAACAGTTGCTCTGGGGATCCTTGGGGATTCTTGGGGACCCCAGGTGAGCTTTCCTGTGAAAACACTTGAGTGAAGATTAATTGGAGTCATAGAATATTGGAGCTGGAAGGAATCATGGAGGTCCCTCTAGTTCAACTCTCCTTTCTCCCTTCGCAATGCAGAGGGAGACTTTGCTAGAATAGTTTCAGTGGTATGAGGAATGGAGACATGAGAGGACCAGCTAAAGGAATGTTTACCCAGAAGACTTGAGTAGAATGACATGACAGTTTATTTCAAGCATTTGAAGGATTGTTACCTAGAAGAGGGAACAGAGGCTCCAGAGTTATTGGTAACACTAGCAGCATTAGAGTGGGGCAGTGTGAGAGGAGTTGTTGGGAGATAGGTTTAGGCTTTCCTGGTGGTTCTAGATGTCCCAGTCAGTCAATCCAGAAACACTTATTAAGCACCTATTCTGTGTCATTACTAAATCCTGGAGATGGGGGAGGGGAACACGAGGTGGTATAGGTGATATGATCTGCCTTGGGAAAGTAGTGAGTATAACCCCCTGAATTTCTTTTAGTGGAGTCCCAGATAACTACTTATCTGGGATTCGGCAAGGGAATTCCTGTTTGAGTATAGTTGGGATTAAATATCCCCTAAGGCCCATTCCTTCTAACTCATGGATTTGGTGATTCTGGGCCTAACCCAGGGACTGAAAGGGAACAAACTGAAGTAAATACCTTACAGATATTATCTCATTATCAGGGTGGAGCATTCCATTATTCAGCTGCTCTGGTTACTTTGAAAGTTCTGGCCATTCTTTAAGCTCCTTGAGGGGAGGCAGGGACTATTTTTTATCTAGACCCTATATTTCCTTGAAGCCTTCCACTGAGTTCTGTACACAGAAAGTGCTTTGATATGTGTCTCCAGTATTCTATTGAGCTGAGGTCTGGCTGCTTTTGAATCTTGAACTCCCATCCCTAGCCCCATTTTGGCCCTAACTCTACCCTCTGGGATGCCATAGGGTCCTTTAACCCTGTGATGGCCCTTCCCAGGATGAGAGGAGGGAGCATTGTGGTATAGTGGAAAAATCACTGGACTTGGTATCAGAAGACCTGGGTTCACATCCCAGTTCTGACATTTCCTAGTCAAGTCATGTGATTATGTGCTACTCATTTCTGTTCTCTGGGCCTCAGCCTTCTCTTCTTGTGAGTGATGAATAATGGTACTGTCTCCCTTATAGGAGGATTATTATGAGGAAAGCATGTATTAAAACTGAAGCCCTATGGAAACGTGGGTTGGTGTCATTATGATGCCCCTCCTTGGTATTCTCTTTACCAAATTAACCACTCTCAAGTCCTTCAGATGATCCAGGGGTGTTGTGTAGCCATCCCCTCCCCCTCTTCTGGTCTTCCTCTTCTGGTCATGCTATTCTATCACTGTCTTTCTAAACTCTGGTGCCCAGAACTGAGTCCAGTACTCCAAATGGAATCTGGTTAGTAAGCACCCAGGGGAAGACTATTGCCCACCTTGTTCTGGACGTGACTTCTTGTCTGGGCCAAGTTCACTTTCCTTCCCTGAATGGAACTAGAGGAAAGGGAACTGGGGGAAAGGGAATGGAGGAAGAGTGGAAAGTGGACTTAAAAATAAAATGAGAGAGCTGGAATAGACAATCTGAATCGTTCCTTCCCTCTCTAAAGCCTGTGGTCCCATTAGAGGCTGTGGGAATACTAGAGAGAGCTGGAAGAGCCTGGCTTCAAATCCCAGCTGACGTGGATTAGCTGTGTGACTTTGGACGTGTCATTTACTCGTCTGAGTATCAGTTTGCTGATCTATAAGAGTAGAGATAGTAAATATGATACTTTGCTTCCTGTTGCCCTCACTGGGTTGTTGTGGAGAAAGATTTGTGAACCCTAAAGAAATCTCAGTATAATTATTGTACTGTAACTTGGGACTGGGGCTTGATGGAGAAATCCTTATGGCCAGAGGGAAGGGTTGGGGTTGGGGAGCTGTTTTTCCCTTTCATCTCCCAGGAGAGAGCAGACCTCTTAAGCTAAACTGATTTCCAAACCCCGTTCCCTAAGTACTTCTCAAAGGTCCTTCTCCCTGGTGCTAAGAGGATCCTATGAAAAGATCTCCCCCTCTTTCCCCATGATTCTGAGGAGCCTCTGGGATTTGGGTTTGGCCATCTCTGTGGTGTCTTGGCTAGCCCCTGGGATCTTGTGTGCACTCTCCCAGAGGCTGACTTGTTTATGCTACAACAAGGTAGGCTGGCTCCCACAGGCCTCATCTAGTAGGGGTAGGTGGGAAGAACAGAGTACCTGTAGGCACTGAGTACTAGGAAAGCCCATGGGTCCAGGCTCCTAGTCTGCCTGGAGAGATGGCTTCTGTCATACACAAAACACCCGATGCTATGAGAATGATTCAAGGAGGCCTGTCACCAAATGTGAGGTGGCCTGGCACTTACTCTAAGGCCTGGCCTGGGGGAAGTTGGGGACAGAGGAGGCCAGGCTGGACCTGGTTAGTCACCAAAGGCTTCCTGGGGAAGAGTCAGGGTTTTGAGAAATGACCTACACTCAGCAGGATGCCCTGTAATATCCTGAAAGTAGAAAGAACAAAATCTTTTACCTCCAGTCTTGCATTATTTGTATTTACATTATTGGCCTGATATATTTTATTCCAACCTCTTAATTTTAATGGAGTAAATCCTTTTAAAGTATTAGATGTTTCCTGTAATCACCACATTCATAGAGTTTGTTATTTAATCCAGTCTGTAACTTTTTCTTTTGGAGGAGAGAATAATTCAGCCCATTCACATTTATGATAATAAATGATAAATTTGAAAAATATTATGGTCCATGTACCAAGAACAGTTTCATCTGGCCCTTAAAAAACACTAAAGAAAATTGAAAAATCAAAGAAAAAATTTCTGTTCTGCAGTCAGGTCAGAAGTTCAAATGATAATTGAGTTAAATTTTTAAAAAGCTACGTTTTTTTATCTGTTGAAGTCAATAAGTTTAAAAAAACTCTGGGATTTATAAAAGAAGGATGAAATGTACATAGAAACAAAGGCCTTTGCAGCAGTAACATCCACTCACAGTGCTTCATTGTGGGACAGAGGTGACCCTAAGCCAAAGGTCAGTCTAGTGGAGCCCAGACTCTGGTAGGTCAGCCTGAGTCAGGAGGGCTTCCAGCATGAGCCCAGGGACAGACTCTGTATTCTGTTCAAAAACTGGCCTTATCACTACAGGACTGGCCTTGGGGCAATGAATTCTTTAGCCACAGAAATTCTTAGAGAATGGGCTGCTATAGTGGAAGTAGAAGGAGGATGTGGATGAGGGAAATTAATAATGATAATGAAGGTGATGATAGCTACTGTTTTTAAAGCAAGATGCTTTACGTATGTTATTTGATTCTCACAACAACCCTGGGAAGTAGGTGCTGTTATTATCCCCATTTATAGATGAGGAAACTGAGTCCAGGAGAAGTTAAGTGGCTTGATTGGGGTCACACAGTAAGTGTCAGAGGCAGGATTTGAATTCAGGTTTTCCTGACTCCCAAGTCCTGGGCTCTGTTGATTTACTCTGCCACCCAGGCTGCCTCTAAATCTTGGAAATTTTGGGTCATTGAAATGTTAGAACAGAAACCCTGATTCCTGTTAGCAGGTCCAGGGCAGATATGTGGGAAATCGGTGGCTGATAGGCAGAGGCAGAGTAAAGGTAGGGCAAGTGTGCTGTTTCTGAGGAGGGGTTGGTGTAGTGAGGGAGGGGAACGGAAAGTTGTGTTACCTGTATGTGGAAATAGGTAAGCATGTTAGTCTGCATGTGTGAAAGGACATTCGTGGGGGGGGGCACACAGGAGTGCCTAGAGGTGCCTGCTTATGGTGCATTTGTGTAAGCATCTGCACATTTAGGCTTTGTATACATTTGCAGGAGACGGTGTAGGGAGCAGGAGTGCTAGTTTTAGAATCCAGACTTGAGTTCAGGTATCAGCGGCATTACAGCTATAGACAAGTCATTTTATCTCTCAGACTTTTTTGGTCTGTAAAATGGGGTGATAGTATTTTGCATTGCCTGCCTTACAAGGTGGTTGTGGTAAAAGCTATTTGTAAACTGTCTTGTGCTGTCGAAGCAGGAGTAATTGTGTGTGTGTGTGTGTGTGTTTGTATGTATGTAACTGTGGGATGAACACACATCCTGTCAAGGTTCTGAGATTTTCTCTGACACAGACACCAGCCCGTCAGCTATTTAGTAGATAAATTTGAGAGTTTCCTGGTGCTCAAGAGAGAGGAAGTGACTTACCCAGGGAGGGTCCCCCAGCCAGTAAGTGCCAGAGGCAGGGTTTCAGCCCAGGTCTCACGACCTGATTCCAAGTCCAGATGCTGCCTGCTTAGCTCTGCTGCCTCTTATTCATGCCAATGAACACAGTCATACATGCAGGAATCCCTGTATAGATGTCCATACAGTTAACGCACATGTACCGGTTCTTGCCTGTGTGTGTACACGTACGTATGTGTGTGCCCATTCATGTAGAGGCATGGCAGTAGTTGTAAGCCACAGATTGCCATAGCCCACACATGTAGGATTTGATCCCAGGCTCCTTCTCCTTAGGTCTAGTGTTCTTTCTACTTTAGGATACTGTCGTGCTGCCTCACGTACTAGATGTGTGTATTTCTACTTGAACGTGTGTAGGTCCATACATGCATGAAATCTGACTTGTGTAGGCGGCCACTCTACCTGCCATGCTCTTAGGCTGGCTTGACCACAGTCTAAGTGATGGGATTTTAGGGCTCTTAAGAAACCTTAGGGGGAATTGCATTTTACAGAGGAAGCAGGTGAGGTGCAGAGAGATGGAATGATCAGTCCAAAGTTGCACGAGTGCTAAGTTTCGGAGTGAGGATTTAGTCCCAGTGCTCTTTGCATAGTGGCCCACAGCTTCAATGGCCTGTGCAGAGAGGCTGGGCCTCAGCTCTCTGCACCCCTCACCCCGCAATCTGGACTGTTTGCCCATTCCAGAGGCTCTTGGTAGTGTCGTGATCTGAGCCCACCCTCAGATCCAAGCTGCTAGTTGCTCCTCTGGGACCAGGTGGATGAGGCCGGAAAACCCCACCCCCACTCCCACCCTCATTGCCCTCCTTGCAGGGCATGACTTACCCTTCCCGTTTATGTTCTCTTCCTCTCCTTTCCCGGTGCGCCCACCTTCTGCTCCAGATGGACTCTTCTCTAGTCTTCTCGCTGTTGTGCAATGCCAGGCTTGTTCCTGCCCTTATATGGGATCATAGGACTTAGAGCTGATCTAGTCCAGCCTCCTCATTATACAGAGGAGGAAACTGAGGCCAGAGGGATGCTATAACTTCTCCAAGGTCACCCCATCCCACCAGGATAGCTTAGCTGGCACCTGCTCTAAAAAGTTTTCCCTGATCCTTGTGGCCCGCAGTCACACCTCTCCCTTCTGGCCACAGTCCTGTTGTGATCTCCTGTTCTTTGAGCCCTGACTTCAAGCCAGGGCCTAAGCTCTTGTGGACTGGGCCCAGGGCTCCTCTTCCTCCTCCCTCCTTCCTCTGTGCCTCAAAGGCTACGTAGTTAAACGTGGGAATGAAGACCGTGCTGGTTAGTTTTGCTGGCTGACCCACTGGGTCCCTGTCCGTCCATCCGTCTTGTCCTTCTCTAGCTGACCTCGCTCCTCTCCTTTCCCTTTCTCCCCCCAGGAAGCGAAGGGGTGCCATCAACAGCAAACAACTCACGTACCTGGAAAAGTACCGGCCAAAGCAGAGACTCCGATTCAAAGACCCACACAACCACAAGAATAAATGCTGTATCATGTAACCTCGGCAGCCTCTCGCCAAGCACACACACACCTGCCCCCACAGACCGACTCGACTCTCTCTCTCTCTCTCTCTCTCTCTCTTTCTCTCTCTCTCTCTCTCTCTTTCTCTGTCTCTCTCTCTCTGTCTCTCTGTCTCTCTCTCTCTCTCTCTCTGTCTTCCTGTCTTTCTGTCTGTCTATCTCTCTCTCTCATATACACACACATACACACACAGCCTGCCCCTCACATGCAGGCTTGGATGGTTCAATGGCTGAAGATTTGGATAAAAGAGACACTGACAGATTTTTGTTCCTCTCCAATGAAGCATTCTCTTGTCTACTCTCTTGCTTGGCCTCTCTTCTCTCTGTCTCCCTGTCTTTGGCTTCTGACCCCTCCCATATCTTCTCTATAATCTCTTCCCTTCTCTCTTTCTTCCCCACTCTCTCCCTCCCTCTCTCCTGTGTCCTCCTCCTTAGCCTTCTTTCAACCATTGGCCTTCTCTGTTCTTCACTCTTCCCCACTTGTTTTCCTTCTGTCTTCTTTCTCCTCTTCCTTCTTCTCTTTCTCTTCCCCAATGTTCCGATCACTGTTTCTCTTTCTCTGTTTCTTGTCTCTTTCTCTCTGCCTTTGTTTCCCTCTGTCTCTGTCTCTCCTTCCTCTGAAATTATTTCTGCAGCCGCGGGGCAGGAAGCCCGTCCTGCTTCCAGCAGCCCCAGCCTGTCCCTCCCCTCTCTGCCCGAGGGACTCAGCCCAGTCTGGCAGCCTGCTTTTGGGGGTGTGCTTTTGTTTTCTTTTGGTTTGGTTGATTTTTTTTTTTAAGTTCACTTTTCACTCCTCCTCCACTCTCTCCCATCCAACCCTCCATCCTACCCCCACCTCAGCCTTTTGTCATCATCACCTTTAAATTATTGGACTTTTTGAGGCAAACCATTGTTCCGGAAACTGAAATGCAATAAAAGCCTAACCTGTGGCTGGGCTCTCTCTGCAGGAGGGTGAGGAAGCCCAGACAGTGCCAACCCAACCTGGTCTTGGCTTCCAGGCTGCATCCCCCCGTTCCCCCATGCCCATCCCCAAGACCCTAGGATTGGGAAACCCACTGGGGAGGTGGACATGGGGCTGTGCCTGCGTGCTGCCTTCCTGCTCAGCCTTCTGCCCTTGCTGGAGGCTGGGGGTGAGTCCCTTTTTGGGTGGGTTTAGCCGTCACTGCTTCTCTCCCACCCTTCCCTGAGTGTCTCTTCAAGTGTTAGCTAGCCAATGGCTCCCTAAGCACAAAAGGGTCCAGTCACTGGCATCACCTTGTGGTTGGGCCTGGCAATTGCATCTTCTGAAGGACAGGATAAAGGATGGTGGATGGCTATCTGGAAGGGACCTTGAAGGCCGTCTGGTCCAACCCCCTCATTTTACATATGAGGAAACTAAAGCCCAGGAAAGCACAGTGACTTGTTGTCCAAGGTCACGTATTCCATCTCTGCTCTTTTTGTCCGAGGCAAGGGGAATGGTGTACGCTGGACCAGAAGGGACCTCAGTGCTGTTTATAGTGGGGAAGTTTAGCAATAAACAATGGTGGAAGCCCACTCATGTCCAGGTGAAGTACAGGATGAGAGTTGGGGGAGAAAGGATGTTTGTGTAGAGGACAAGAGATGACTTCAGCCCTGAATTGACTCTTGCCCCAAATTAGGTCCTTGTTGAAAGTTGTATTGGCCCTTCCCTCTTGTCTTGTAGTGGAAAGAGCTGGGACTTAAAAGACCTGGGTTCCAAGTTCAGCTCTCCCACTGAATGTGTGACCTTGGGCAAGTAATTTCCCTGTTCTGGGACTCCTGTAAAATGAGAGGGGCTGAACTATAAAACTCCTATGGTCTCTTCCAGCTCCAAAATTTTGTGGTTTCCTCTAGGACCCCTCTAGATTTTTCATAGCCTAAGATCCCCTCTCTTGGCCTAGAATTATCTTTGAGGAAGGATTCGGTTTCCAGGCCTGGCCACAGGTTCACATGAATGAATGGGTCCTAAGGTGCCTAGACAAGACGCAGATGGAGTTGGTGGTTTTGTCTAAAGTCCCCTGAGAAACTTAGGTGCGGGGTGGCTGTGCCAGACTTGACCCTGGGATGCTTTCAGTGCCTTGCACACCGTAGGTGCTTAATAAATATTTGTTGAATTGAATGAAATTGAATTCATCCTCAGCCCCAGCCTCCCCAGCCACTGGGGTCTGCCGTGGGAGGGATCCAGAAGAGATTGTGAACAACGGTAGACTTGTTTGGCCCCAGAGCGAGCACAGTGGGGAAGTTCACAGAGTCCCAGAATTTCATAGTTAGAAGTGACCTCTGAGGCCGTAGAGTTCAGCCTGTACTGTGGGCAGGTTTCTGAATCTCCTTGAGACCATTTCCTCTTTGGTGAGGTGAGGGGGTTGGAGTAGATTGCCCCCGAGTCACCTGCCAGCTTTGGGTCCATGATCCTTTGAATCCCCACTCTAATCCACGAAGTCCCTGCTTGCAGACCCAGTGCGGGCGTCTCCCCAAAGGATCCCACTGTGGGGTTCCTTTAATTGCTGGGAAGCGTCTTCTGACATCAAGATGAAATTTGTCTTTGGGCGGCTTGCATCTCTTCTGCTCTTCAGCCCTTCATGTAATTGAATATAACTAACCACGTGCCTCCTTAGACCTTTTCAGGCGAACCATTCCTAATTCTTTCAGCTCATTCTCATACTGATATGGACTCGAGGACTTCTGGACACTCCCCAGCATAGCAGTGGCCTTTCTAAACTGTGGGGCCCTGGTTTCACAGAAAAGGGAGATTTCAGTTCGGTTTTTAGAATTCATCGGAGCACGGCTAGGTCATTTAAGCTGTCTCTGTTGCAAGTCCTCTCTGCTGAGTATATGCACCCCCTGGAGGACTATTTGGGAATTACAGCCTTGCTGGGTGGCTAGCTCTTTCTGTCATTGGAGCTGTGAAATGCCATATGTGAAATTCTACCACCATGATGGGATTAAACTCCAGAATGAGTCAGCAACTAAATTAAAATTCAGCAAACATTTATGAAGTACATATTGTGTGCAAGGCCCATGGGACACATAACTGTGTCTGTTAATAGCAATATTTATATAGCACTTCATAGAATTCAACTCAGTTGATTGTCACAGCAGCCCTGTGGAGTGAGTACTACAGGTACTGTCTCCATTTTACAGATGAGGGAGGAAACTAAGGCTGGGAGGAGTTAAATAAATGCCATATTCATGTTAAGTGGGATTCAAATCCAGGTTTCTCCTGACTCGAGTCCTGTGGTTTTCCTGTTATTATTATTTTTACTTGGATGTGATTTGATTGCTGTAGGGATCTTTTAGTTGAGGACTCCTTCTAACAATCCAAACTGGCAACTCTTCAACTTGTAATCTGAAGTGTTGCTTGGGGACATTTGGGAAGTGAAGTGACATGTCCTCGGTCACAAAGTTTGGGTCATCAGTAAAACTTGGACTAATGTCATCTTTCCACTACACCACGGTCCCTCTCTTTGCCATTATAACCACATTGCCAACAACAGACATAGGGAGAGTAAAATACAAGAGGGTAGGGGTGGGGTGGGGGCTGCAATTATGAAGTCTTATGCAGAGAAGTTTCATAAATGATGGGGCTTGTCAACTTGATCACTGGAGTTACCGTGTGTGTGTGGATGTAAAGGGAATGAGCTAAACAAGAAGGCCCTTTCAACCAAATCCTAAAATTTCAGAGTTTGGGGGTGGGGAAGGGCTGAGGCAAGCGGACATGAGGGATATTTCTTCTAATTGACCAGAACACATTTGTGAATCTTCCTCAACCCTGAACTCTGGGTGTGTGGTAGTATTTGTGCACCCCTAATATATGACTCAAGACTCGAAGTGAACGGAGCTGTGGCCAATTTGTAGATATGTGTCCCGAGAGGAGTATTTCTCTTAAGCCAGTAACAACCTCAAGATGACTTCTTGGAATCTGGCCCCCTGACTCCCATTATTCCTGGGAGCTGCCCAGGCTCCAGCCTAGGTTTGTCTCTGGTTGGAACAATTACTCCCAAGGTTTTGAATCACATTCCAAGGAAAACTGACCTAGCTTTTGTGTGTTGTATGTCTCCAGGGGTGGGGGAGGGGAGAATCTCCTTCAGTCCAGGAGTGGGAAGAGAGGAGAATCTCCTTCACTTTTATGTCCTATGCTTTCCCCAGCCTTCATTCCTTCATCCATCCTACACACATATCTTAATGACCCCCATGGTAAGGTTATACATATAGATCAATGAATCTCAGAGTCTGAAGATATCTCAGAAAACAAGTTCAGCGCCTACCTGGGTGACTGACCTTAGAAAATCCCCGACAAGTGTTTGTTCATCCTGGCTGGGAGACTCCCAGTGGCGGAAATGCCACTTGTCTAGAGGTTGCCCATTCTGCTTTGGCCGGTTAAATTCTTTAAGTGGTATCTAACTCCACCTCTGTAACTTCTACCCTCTGCTCCTTGGTCTGCCCCTTCCCCCCACCCCCAACCATGCTGAACAAGTGTGATCACTCTTCCCTGTGACAGCCCTTCAGATGAAGCTATCACATCCGCTCTAAGTCTTTTCCAGGTGAAACTCCCCCAGTTTTTAAGCAAACTTCTATAACATGACCTCCAGTGCTATAATCATGCTGAATGTCCTCTTAACCTTTCCTAAAATATGCCTGGAGCCAGGAATATTGAACTTCACTAATCTTGGACCCAGTGTCTGAGATGATCTTGGTGTTATTGGATGCCGTGTTGCGCTGTAGATCATAAGAGTCCCAAGATCCTTTTCAAATGGATTTCAACTTTGCTGTACCGTCTCCTGCCATCTGGTGTTTGTAAGCTGATTTTTTTTGAAGTTGCGAAGGCTTTACACTTATTTCTATTGATCATCGTATTAGATTGGACTCTACTATTTTAGCCTGTCAGTGTCTTTTTGAATCCAGATTGACTTTGAGCTCTTTCGTATTAGAGCTTTCTGTATTTCTAAATTGGATGAGCATAACTTGCTTATCTAAGTAGCAGGTTATTTATTTATTTATTTATTTTACTGAACCTGTAATTTCATTGATACAGAGACCTCTCAGTGAGGAATTCCCTCTATCAATACAGGTAGGAATGTTCTCTGCAGCTTATAGTCTTAGAATGTTACCTGAGG